CAGTCGACCCGTGGCACCTGCTGGGTCTGCCCCGTGACCTCCTCCTCATGCACCTAGCCTGGCACAGCAGTACAACCCGTGGCACCTGCAGGGTCTGTCACCGTGACCTCCTCCTCATGCACCTAGCCTGGCACAGCAGTCAACCCATGGCACCTGCTGGGTCTGCCCCGTGACCTCCTGCCAGCGGGCGTTCGACACTTCACGTGGCAGCCTCAAGGTGCACTTGGCCTGGCACAAGCGTCGTGGTGACGTCACCGCCACTTAGTGGCGAATGGCGGTTGTTGTTGTTGTTGTTGTTGTTGTTGTCTCGGTGTGTCTCAATCTCTCCCCGTGTCTCTCTCCGTGTCTCTCTCTGTGTCTCTGTCTCTCTCTCCCCGTGTCTCTCTCCGTTTCTTTGTGTCTCCGTGTCCCCGTGTCTCTCTCCCCGTGTCTCCGTCTCTCTCCCCGTGTCTCTCTACCCGTGTCTCTCTCTCCCCGTGTCTCTCTCTCCCCGTGTCTCTCTCCCCGTGTCTCTCTCCCCGTGTCTCTCTCCCCGTGTCTCTCTCTCCGTGTCTCTCTCTCTCCCCGTGTCTCTCTCCCCGTGTCTCTCTCTCTCCCCGTGTCTCTCTCCCCGTGTCTCTCTCCCCGTGTCTCTCTCCCCGTGTCTCTCTCCGTGTCTCAGTGTCTCTCTCCGTGTCTCAGTGTCTCTCCCCGTGTCTCTCTCCCCGTGTCTCTATCCCCGTGTCTCTCTCCCCGTGTCTCTCTCCCCGTGTCTCCGCGTCTCTCTCCCCGTGTCTCTCTCCACGTGTCTATCTCCCTGTGTCTCCGCGTCTCCGTGTCTCTCTCCCTGTGTCTCTCTGTCTCTCTCCCTGTGTCTCCGTGTCTCTCTCCCCGTGTCTCTCTCCCCGTGTCTCTCTCCCGTGTCTCCGTGTCTCTCTCCCCGTGTCTCTCTCCCCGTGTCTCTCTCCCCGTGTCTCCGTGTCTCTCTATACCTGGTGTCTCTAGCCCCGTGTCTCTCTCCCTGTGTCTCCGTGTCTCTCTCCCCGTGTCTCCGTGTCTCTCTCCCCGTGTCTCCGTGTCTCTCTCCCCGTGTCTCCGTGTCTCTCTCCCCGTGTCTCCGTCTCTCTCTCCCCGTGTCTCTCTCCCCGTGTCTCTCTCCCCGTGTCTCTCTCCGTGTCTCTCTCTCCGTGTCTCTCCCTGTGTCTCTGTGTGTCTCTCGCCCCGTGTCTCCGTGTCTCTCTCCCCGTGTCTCTCGCCCCGTGTCTCTCTCTCACCGTGTCTCTCTCCCCGTGTCTCTCTTCCCGTGTCTCTCTCCCCGTGTCCCCGTGTCTCTCTCCCCGTGTCTCCGTGTCTCTCTCCCCGTGTCTCTCTCCCCATGTCCCCGTGTCTCTCTCCCCGTGTCTCTCTCCCCCCGTGTCTCTCTCCCCGTGTCCCCATGTCTCCGTGTCTATCTCCCCGTGTCTCTCTCTCCGTGTCTCTCTCCCGTGTCTCTCTCCCCGTGTCTCCGTGTCTCTGTGTCTCTCTCCCCGTGTCTCTCTCCCCGTGTCTCCGTGTCTCCGTGTCTCTCTCTCCGTGTCTCCGTGTCTCTCTCCGTGTCTCTCTCCCCGTGTCTCCGTGTCTCCGTGTCTCTCCCCGTGTCTCTCCCCGTGTCTCCCTAGCCCCGTGTCTCCGTGTCTCTCTATCCCTGTCCGCCTCCGTGTCCGCCGCCTGTCCCACTGCCCCGTCCGTGTCCCCCCCCACCCCCCCCCCCCCCCCCACCCCCACCCCGGTTTTGTCTCTGTCTGGCCAGGAACGACTGTCCGGGTCCCGTGCTCACGAGACGCAGATCAGAAGACTTCCTCTGCAGAGACAAACCCTGGGAGACACGGAGACACAGAGAGACACACAGTGAGACACACAGAGACACAGAGACACACACAGAGACACAGAGAGACACACACAGAGTGAGGCACACACAGAGACACACAGACAGGAACGACTGTCCGGGTCCCGTGCTCACGAGACGCAGATCAGAAGACTTGCGCTGCAGAGACAAACCCTGGGAGACAGAGACACACATAGAGAGACAGTGAGACACACACAGACAGAGTGAGACACACAGAGACACACAGAGACACACACACAGACAGAGTGAGACACACAGACAGAGTGAGACACACACAGAGACACACAGACAGGAACGACTGTCCGGGTCCCGTGCTCACGAGACGCAGATCAGAAGACTTCCTCTGCAGAGACAGACCCTGGGAGACAGAGACACACACAGAGTAAGACACACAGAGACACACAGACACACACAGAAACACACACAGACACACACAGACAGAGTGAGACACACACAGAGACACACAGAGACACACAGACAGAGTGAGACACACAGACAGGAACGACTGTCTGGGTCCCGTGCTCACGAGACGTAGATCAGAAGACTTGCGCTGCAGAGACAGACCCTGGGGGAGACACGGAGACACAGAGAGACACAGTGAGACACGGTGAGACACACACAGAGACACACACAGAG